TTTAAAAAGTGACTCCACTTTTAGCACATGGCTCACAGAATATTATGGTGTTACCTTACCCTGTTACCTCCCGATAACCCTGCCAACCTCCCCCACTGGATCTTCTGTATTCTCCTTGCTCTGCCATCCTGGACGCCTCCCAAGCCTGCTCCACAGCCCTGCCTTCTTTCAATTAGCGGGAGGGTTGCATCATGTCTCTGCCTCATTTGACAATGGTGAGGCACATTTGACAATGGTCTAAGCTCTGTCTTTGAATTAACCTTGTTTCATGTCTGTAATGATTCTGGTGCCGTAGTCACTGGTGCTGTCCCCATTTCACCTGTAGTTACACGAGATTCTTATGAGCTGAAGTCAAGCACTCTCTTTCCCTTGCTTGTTATTACCTGCATGCTTATTGGGTGGCAAGCCCTGTGCTACACGTTTTAACTCACTGGATTCTTGTCCTGTTTTTATTTTACAAGTAAGGAAGGAAGGCATAGAGAGACACAACTAGACACTCTGGTTACTGGTTGGTTATAACCTTCTGGTTATACCCCTTCCCCACAATCAAGCTCCAATCCACTCGCTTCCTGGAGCACCAGGGCTCTAAGGGCTTTGGTTTCCTGCAGCATGGGGTTCCTACAGCATGTCCACCAAAGTCTGTCTCTTGTTTTCCAGGCTGTACACGCCTTTTCCCTTCCCAGTCAGTCCTCTAGAGCCACAAGGGCAGACTTGAGGCCTTGGTGTTTGGCTCCAGTTTCTCCAGCTCACAGCATGGGAACTATCACATGCAGTAGTGGCAGGGTTCGGGGATGTCTAAGCACAGGATGTCAGAAGGCTAAGGGTGTTGACATACTTCTTTTACAGGAATGAAGTGACCACCCACTGTGATTGACCATTAACTAGATTTGCTGACTAGGCCTCTAAACACACCCCCAACCCCGATCCTCTTGACAAACCAAATCTGATTTAATGAGCTCCCCATAAGCCATCATTACAGCAAATATCAGTAAGTGCTTTGTAAGTGGAGTCCCTCCAGTGGCAACTCCCGGCCCTACTCACCACACGTCTAGGCAGGCAGCTAGGTCAAGGTCATGAATCTGAAAGCCGTATCTCCCCTGCCTGTGTAAGATTTTTTGCTTACCCGTGTGGCAGTTAGTGTGTACCTATCATTACCTGGGAGTTTGGGGGCATGGGGAGGGCGGATTGTGGTGTTACTAGCCACGCCCCTCTCAAGCCTTATAAAAACACGACCATACAGGCAGGAACTCTGCTTTTTGGCCCTTTTTGGGCACTGTTTCCCTGTTTGGGCTTTCTCACTCTTCACCCCCACCCACAGCCACACACACTCTTGCTTTCTGGGTGCAGGCTTAAAGAACAAAACATAGCAAGCACTCTCCCTTAAGAACAAAAGCTATCAATCTCTCTCTCCCTTACCCCTTTAATTTCTGTCTCTTGCTTCATTTTAGTTTGTATTCCTCACCCTCTGAAAAAAAACTTTATCTTTTGTTTAAGCTGTGTTGGTGCCTGTAATTAAGATACTTTGAAAATAAAAGGCAAGAACCTGTTAGGTTTACCAACCACCCATGCAAGAAAATAAATATTTGCCCTCAAATCTGGACCACCACAGTTACACTTGGGAGATTCAGCGTCAGCAGTGGCCAGAGCTTCCCCAGAGCTGTACTCTCATTTTCATCTTCTGCAAAGGGAGAGGACATCTGGTTGCATAAAGGGAAGGTGAGTTCCTTGTGGTCACTCAGCAAGATGGAACGGTGAATTGCAGGCCAAAATCTGCTTTGGCCGGGGGAGTGGGGTGGGATGAAATGCAAAACCCACTCAGACTGGGTTCCTGTCATATGTCTTCTAGGGAGGCTGAGGTCTAGGAACCTGTAACTCTCAAATGGCCACCAGTGTGGAGTAGTGATGGAGGCACTCAGTCCAGGCTGAAGGCTCAGAAACACAGCACGACTGTGTAGTAAGCTATTCTCTGCCTGCAGCACCAGCATCCCATATGGGGACTGGGAAAGCAGCAGAGGATGGCTGCAGGGTCCTTGCACCCATTTGGGAGACCCAAAGAAGCTCCCGGCTTCAGATTGGTCCCAAACCAACTGTTGTGGCCATTTGGGGCAGCAGCAAATGGAAGATCCCTTTGTCTCTTCTTTCCTCTGTGTAAATCTGCCTTTCATATATATATGCATATATATATATATTTTTTAAAGAGATGGGCCTGGCACAGTAGCCTAGCAGCTAAAGTCCTCACCTCGCATGCACCAGGATCCCATATGGGCACTGGTTCTAATCCTAGCAGCCCTGCTTCCATTCAGTTCCCTGCTTGTGGCCTGGGGAAGCAGTCAAGGACAGCCCAAAGCCTTGGGACCCTGCACTTGCGTGGGACACCCGGAAGAAGCTCTGGGCTCCTGGTTTTGGATTGGCTCAGCTCCGGCCATTGTGGCTGCTAGGGGAATTAATCAATGGATGGAAGATCTTCCTCTCTGTATCTCCTCCTCTCTGTATATCTGACTTTCAAATAAAAATAAAATAAACCTTTAAAAAAAATAAAAGAGAGACAGATCTTTCATCTGCTGGTTCATTCCCCAAGTGTCTCAACTGGCTCCTTGCTCCTGGCTTTGGATTGACTCAGCTCCAGCCATTGCAACCATTTTGGGAGTGAACCAACAAATGGAATATCTTTGTCTCTCCTTCTCTCTGTAAATCTGTCTTTCAATAACTTCTCCAGCATAATGAACAAGGTATGGAAATACTTTTATTCTTTGAAGGACATATTTATTTAATAGACAGTGTTACAGAGAAAGCGAGAAAATGAGAATATCTTCCATCTGTGAGTTCACTCCCCAAGTGGCTACAATGGCCTGTGCTGGACCCCTGGCTCCACACTGTCTCAGCTTTGGCTGTTGTGACCATTTAGGGAGTGAACTAGGGGGTGGAAGATCTTTCTGTCTCTACTCTGTCTTATAAGTACCGCGTGCTAACCGATCATGCCACTGGAGCCGCTGTCTCTACTCTCTGTAAGTCAACCTTTCATTGGAAAAACAGATCAGATTTACAGAGAGGAGATGGAAAGGTCTTCCATCGGCTGGTTTATTCCATAAATGGTTGCAATGGCCGGAGCTGAACTGATCCAAAGCTAGGAACCAGGAGCTTTTTCCAGGTCTCCCACACAGTGCAGGGTCCCAAGGCCTTGGACTGTCCTCTACTACATTCCCAGGCCATAAGCAGGGAGCTGGATGAAAGTGGGGCAGCTGGTACCTGAACTTACCAGCACTTGCAAGGTAAGGATTTAGCTATTGAATCATTGTACCAGGCCTTCAAATAAACAGATCTTTTTTTAAAAAATAGAAAAAGTTCCATAATTTTCCCTTTAAATCAAATGTCTTGTTTAAATAAATTTCTTGAGACCGTGCCATGGCATAGCATGTTAACTTTCCACCTGTGTGACAGTATCCCATAGAGGTGCTGGTTCAGGGCCTGGCTGCTCCACTTCCTGTCCAGTTCCCTGCCTGTGGCCTGGGAAAGCAGCAGAGGATGGTCCAGAGCCTTGGGACCCTGCACCCGTGTGGGAGACCTGGAAGAAGCTCCTGGCTCCTGGCTTCAGGTCTGTTCAGCTCTGGCTCTTGTAGCTATTTGCGAAGTGAACCAATGCATGGAATATAACTCTCTCTGTTCTAACTCCTTGAAATAAATAACAACAAAGTTTTTTAAAAAACACATTTCTTGTCTAAAGTGAAACAAACAAGTACTTCCAGCAGGCATCCCTGTCAAAGGTCCCTCTTTTTCCCTATCCCCTCAAGTCTGTGACATGGACTTCACTAGTCCCACTTTCCGAGATAAAGGAGCCAGTCCAGAGCCTGGAGGCCAGCCAGGCCCAGCACGCAGGGTCTCCCGGCGCTCGCATGTCCAGCGGCCGGCCGTATCCTGGGCTCCTCTTCACCTGGCCTCACTCCCCCTAGCAGCAAAGTTGGCCTGCTCGATGGCTTTGCATTAGTCCTGAGTTTGAAACCCCACCCAGCTTACCTGTGGGCCATTTGTAAGTGGTTTAATCTGCTTTGTCGCCAGTTACCTCACAGGAAGAATGAGAAAAGTAACATCTTGTTCATCTGGTGGCTGGCATAACATGTGACAAAACAAGGGAATGGAAAGCAAAGGCTTGGGCAGGATGGGTGTGTTGACGGATTAGCCTGGGGTGGAGAGCTTCAGATCCGCCCCCCAACCCCCTGGCCAGGTGACCCTTCTCCTTCTCAGGCTTGAAACCTAGGGGAGGATGACCCTGGGAAGACCACCACTCTGCCTGAAGTGGCTGAGACAAAGGACATACTGCAAAGGCTGTTTGAGTCCAAGGCGAGTGACCTAGAGTGCGGGGACCGCAGGATTAGAAGGAGCAGCGGTTGGAAGCCCTAGAACTTCCTGTGGCCGTTCCCCCTCTCCTCCCTCCCATTCCGGCCCGAGCTGGAGTCCAGGAAGCCACGCGCCCACAGCCGTGGGTGTCCAGCGCTGACTTCTCCAGGGAAGATGCCGCTAAAATGCCAAAGTTGATGGAGTTTGAGAGGCCACTCTGTCACAGGTCTCCCTGCTTCTTTGGGCCCAGTCAGACGCGGGAGTTGGAGCTGTGAGATGCGCGCGACCCGAAGTCGGGCCGGGACTGAGGCGTCTACCTGCCTCTATGCTCCTGTTTCCGACGGTGAGGTGCAGGTGCGCGGTGAGTGCCCCGCACGTCCTGCCGCCTCGGCCCAGCCAGATCCTGCAGGCCTCTCAGAGTGCTATTTTAGCCCAGTCGCTGGGCACGACCTTGACAGTTGAGCTCCACCAGCCTGTGGCCCGTTGCCCAGCAACGGCGCGCTCTCCGGAGGCTGTGCTGCCGCGCCACGCCCTTGTCCCGCCCCACGCCAGCCGCGCGCGCCGCCGGCCGATCCAGGCGGGTTTTGCTGCTTGGCTGGGGGTGGGTTTCTGTGTGTGTTGCTCTTTCAACAGACGTTCCCCTCTGCAGTTGGCCGCGGGAGATCACGATGCTGGACGAGCTCTACACCACGCTGTCCGGAACCCCCGGGGCTGCCCTGGCCTGCTGCTTAGTGGCGGCTACCTTGGCCCTGCGCTGGTCTGGGCGGCGGAAGGCGCGGGGCGCAGCGACTCGGGCGCGACAGAGGCAGCGAGAGAGTTTGGAGACCATGGACAAGGCAGCGCAGCGCTTCCGGCTCCAGGTGACAGCCAGGCGCGGGTATCCCTCAGCGGCCCTGGAGGCAGGCGGGCGGGCAGGGGTGCGTGTCACTTAACAGAACCTGGCTTTGCCCTGGTGGTACGTTCCTGGCACCTTGGAACGAGGTGAGGGCAAGCGGAAGAAGGGGACAGCGCAGGTTGCGCAGGGCCGACGCGCACTTGGATCAAAGAGAGGCTTTGCTCCGTGCTCTGCAGACAATCTTGCTGGCTGGTGTGAGCGCTAATAGGAGGCAGGAGTTAGGACTTTGGAATTAGGAGTGAATAACCCAGGGACTCTGCAGAGGGTAGAGTTCAAGCTCACTGATAGGCGCGTGAGAATCCTAAGAGGAAGCTGGAGAGCTGTCCCAGGCGCAGGGCATGGTGGACACCGCTGGGCTGGAATGGGCGTCTCTGCAGCAGTCCACCTCCTTGTCAACCCCATTCCCTGAGCGGACCTGGGGCTCTCTGACGGCCAGGCGAGGTGTCTCAAAGGGGGGATAGGGGGGAAGCAGTTCCTCCAGGTGTAGGAAAGCCAAAATGCCAAGCTCAGGGAGCTGTTTTTATGTACTAAAGGAGGAAAGATCTGTGGTGTTTGTGGAACCAGCAGGTGGGGGAAGGCATTGCAGACCGTGGGCACAGGAGGAGGAGGCACGGAGGTTTGCCTAAGTGGGAGGCAAGGAGAGGCACCGACAAGTGAGTTGAGCAGTTGCTCAGCTGCAGCACCTGAATTTTGAGGTGAACCAGAGCCTAAGTGCCTGGCAGTTTATCCCAGGGGAGAGGAGATTAGGAAACAGGGTATTAGTGCCAGGATGTGACCTCCAATGGGATGGGGTGTGGGCTTCATATAATTGCAGCCAGGATAACATCATACTTAAATGTTTATTGACATCAGTTCTGTCTGGTCCCAGCCTCCACGCATCAAGCTGACTAAAAAGTTAACATCAATCAGCGTTTGGGGTTCCCCCTGCTGGCTGTGTCTATTTAAACTGACTGCTAGTCCTGGATAAGCACAGACACCTCTCTTTTCTGGCTGAGCTCTGGACGAGCCCCCTCGGGTCCTCCTGATGTCCCCTGGATTAGCTTGGAGACCCTCAGCTGCCCCCCACTCCTGTGTGGCTCTGTTAAGCCAGCTGAACCCTGTGGCTGTGTGGGGAGAAGCACAGAGAACCTGTCCTCAACTCCACCAGCTGAACTCCTAGACTCCATTTGGTTGGTGGCTGTGATGCCATAGGAGGATGGATCTTCCCATGCTTCAGCTCTGAGTCTCACATAGCTCTTTGGGCTTTGTTTCCCCCTCTTTCTCGTGGACTAACTGCCCTTGGTCATTTAAAAACAGTTTATTTTTTATTGGAAAGTCAGATTTACAGAGAGAAGGAGAGACACCGAGAGAAAGATCTTTCATCTGCTGTTTCACTCCCCAAATGACCACAACAACCAGAGCTGGGCAGATCTGAAGCCAGGAGCCAGGAGGTTCTTCGGGGTCTGTCACAGGGGTGCAGGAGTTCAAGCACTTGGGCCATCTTCTGCCGCTTTCCTAGGGCGTTAGCAGAAATCTGAATAGGAAGTGGAGCAGCCAAGACTCAAACTGACATGGATATGAGATGCAGGCAGAGGCTTAGCCTGTAAGCCACACCAGTGGCTTATCTCTTAAATAGGCCAGATTACCTTTAGAGTTCCTAATGACTGCAAGAGAAAGGGAGGGACAACTGTCTGGACCCCTCAGGGGTTCTGAGCAGGTGGCTTATCCAGGACAGTGACCGGATGCCCTGGAGGGCCAATGAGAGGACACAGCCTGGATGCCCAGCTGCTTGGCCTTTGAGCTGCCTTTCTCCTAGGATCTCTGAACCCAGCCTGGAGAGGCAGGGCCCAGACAGGCCTGGGCCCTGGGCCCCTGGGACTGTGCGAGTCCATGTCGTGTTCCCAAGGTGCTGTGTCATCACAGCATGGCTCCCAGCTCTCTATGGAGCTTATGACCAGCTGTTCTCCACCCTGGTCTCTGAAAGAGTCCTGATGGCCCTGCCAGAGAAAGGGCTCACCAGCAGCAGGATGCTCTGTCTGGGAGAGGCCCTGCGGCTAATTGCATACATTCGCCCTGAATGCGTCTTTTCACCTCGGCTACCCTGCTTAGTGAGAGTCCCCCTGGTTTTTACAAACCCCATTTCCTTCGGCTGGATCTGAGCCGCGGCTGTGTCTCCTGGCCTTCTCCAAACTGCTTTGTGTATCACTTCCAGATGAGCAGAAGGAGAGCCTGGGTTAAAAGCATGATTAGCAGTCTCCATGAGCAGGTGGAAGAGAAATCTTGAAATAGAACCAAAGAACTAAAAGCCATGAAGGAAGAGAAAAGTGACTCAGAGGCCCATCCGGGGATCTGAAGTCAGGATGTCAGGTGGCCCAGAAGGAGAAAGCAGATCACAAGAGGGGCAGCTCTTCAGTGATGCAGTATTTGCCGTTTGCAGACTCATCCCTGCAGGCGGCCACATGGCTAGTTATGTGTTATCCTGTTATCCATGCAGTGGCTGCAGTGTGCATGCAGAGTCCATTTCCCTAAGTTCACACACTGGCCTCCTAGAAGTGCCCACAAACTTTGCTCTCTTGGGACAGAGAAAGTGCCTCAGCTGTATAGTTGAAGACTTAAAAAAAAAAAAAAGCAAAAAAAAAAAAAGCTTTCCCAACTGTGTCAGCTGGCAGTGGGAAGAATGCAGGAAAGAATGAAAATTTGTGTAGAAAATGAAAGGGACTGGGGAGAATCAAGATGGCAGAATAGGGTAAGGACACGTTTAAACGGACGGAAAAACATTTAATCAGGACAAAGCAGAGAGGACATATTTCAGGAAATAGGAAAGGACAGAACAACAGCAGAGGGGCACCTGGAGACTGACAGACACAGGAAAGCAGTGGACACAACGGTGTGGTGTTGCAGTGATTGATACTCCAGTGGCATTCAGCTAACGGCAATCTGAACTCCACCAGTAGCCAGAACTCCACCAGCAACCAAATGGGAAGGGACTTTCACTGGGAGCTTGGGAGGTAAATCCAGACAAAGAACTGTTTGTCCTGCTGGTCTATTTGATTTGACCAAGAGCAGAGACAGAGCAACAGATCCCAGATGGACAGTGCAAGAACAGGGTGGATTTCACAGCCCAGTCAGCCCCCTAGAGCTGAATTGGGCACCATTTCGCGTAAGGAGGCAAAGGCAAGAGAAAGGACTAAGCATATGCTGAGCTGGGAGTGAGCTCATTTCTGACTCAGTGAACTGCAGCAACTTTGCATTCTACAGATTCCACTCAAGACAGGTCTGGCTGGGTAGCCCTCAGATATGACGGCCAGCAGATCAAGAACTGTAGTAGAGGTGGTACGTCAGGTGCCATTTTGTACATTGTGGCAAAAGTTTTAGGACTGCAGGGGACAACAGTGAACTGCGCACATGCTGAGCTCGTGAGAACTCGCTGAGTTCCATGGATTGCACTGGTCCCGTAGGAAAATAATACCGACTGTGGCATCGTACCAGTCAAAATAGGTCCTTGTGGCACCCAGACCTAACATCCAACAGGTTCCGACAAGATCAGCGCCACCAACAACCTAATTATATAGGACACCTGGTGTCTCTCTAATCCTGGGACCTGCTCCAAACAGAAGTGGGAGAAAGGTTGCAGAGACAATGGTGCAGCCTCAGCACGGTATCACAGGAGGTGGAGAGTGGTGAGCCAGGAGCTGGGGCTGTGGAGACCACAGTGGAAATCTAACATAAGAGCCCAGACCTGGAACTCGCTGGAGGTTGTGGCACAAGTGGCTGCAAGCAAGAAGTTGTGTACCAACTGCAATAAGTAAAATCGCATTGTAGACCTGTGGGTGACACAGCTTAGAAACCTGCCCCAAGGAGAAGAATCTGCTAACCAGAAGTACAATGATCAAGAGCAAAAGAAGAGATAAAGGCACAATGAATATTACTGAAAATTCTCCTGCAAAGGAGCAAAACCCTATGCCAACCTCAGAGTTAACTGAGGAAGACATGGAGAAAATGGGGGACACAGAATCCATAAGTCTCATTTTAAAGCTTCTGATAAAAAATGAGAAGCTCATGCAAGAGTTCAAAGAATTTAAGGAAGCAATAAAGCAAATCAAGGCTGGTGTATCAGAAATTAAGAACACAGTAGAGCACATTAAAATTACAGTGGAGAGTCTCTAAAATAGAATGAAGCAAGCAGAAGAAAGAATCTCAGAATTGGAAGATATTTCCTGTCGTCAGGGGGAAACAAACAAAAAGCTCGAAGCAGAGCTGGATCAGGTTGAAAAAAGTATTCAAGAATTGAAAGACACGATCAAGAGGCCAAACATAAGAGTATGGGAGTACCAGAAAGTGCAGAAAGAGAAGCTGAGTTTGCAAAGGTATTTAATGAAATAATAAAGGAAAATTTCCCTAATCTGGAGAAAGAATTGGGAAAGAAGATCCAGGAGGGGCACAGAACTAACAGGTTTGATCAAAAGCAATCTTCACCATGACATGTGATTATTAAGCTCTCTTCAATTGAACATTAGGAAAAGATCCTTAAATGTGCACGTGGAAAAAATCAATTGACATATAAAGGAATGCCATTTAAACTCACAGGAGATCTCTCACAGGAAACTCTACAGGGAAGAAGAGAATGGAGTGACATATTACAGATTCTAAAAGAAAAAAATTGCTGGCTTAGGATAACATACCCCGCAAAGTTTCTTTTGTTTTTGAAAATGAAATAAAATTCTTCCACAGTAAACAAAAGCTAAAAGAATTTGCCTCTTCCAAACCTGCCCTACAAAGGATACTTCAAGATGTTCTCTTGACAGAGAAGAGGAATAGCACCCAACAAAACCAAAGGCAAAAGGGAAGAACATCCCAGTAAAATGACAACAGAAGACTAAACCAATGAACAGCCCATTCCTAAAATGACAGGATCAAAGTACTACCCATACATATTAAACTCTGAATGTAAATGGCTTAAGCACAATCAAACATTATAGATTAATA